ATCTTATAATCTGATAATCATTTTATCTTATGATTTCGAAAGTATTAGAGCAAAATACAAAACTCATTGCATCATTCATCCAGCGACTTTAGTTTTGCCTCACAATCCTTGACTCGTGTTGTAAGATTAATTACAAAGGAATTTTCCCTTCTTTTCCCCAGTGACGGAGCAGAACAATGAACAGAGAGGAGGGCCTGGATGGACAGACTGCAGAGGAGGAGAGTGGACAGTGGGAGGTAAAGCCTTGGAGATTAAAACAAGAAAACCTGATGGAACTATTTAGACAAACCATACCAAAATTATTATTGTGCAAGATTAAATGGTTTATAATAGTGATGCACAAGTCTTTATTTGTCATGGCTGTTTCTTTATAGGCAAACTGGCAGATTCGATACTGTTTTTTAATTTTTTTTGTCTTCTAAATTGCTTTTGGAAATATTAAATTAGAAATTAGATAATAGGGGTATAATTAAAGTATGAGTACAATACAAGAGTTCATTATTTGCTTATCCCAGGTTAAACTATCACAAAACCGTCAACAATTAACAAAGGGCAGATTCCGATAGAGATTTTAAAATAAGAGACGTATGATATGCAATCTTACAGCAATTCATAACTTTTTGATTTAGTGCTTAATTCGTATGAATTTGCACGTTCTAATTCATACAATTTAGTACGATTTGCTCATCACCCAATGACGTTTGGGTTTAGGTGCGGGGTTAGGTGCCACGCCTCCTTTTTTAAAATCATACATTTTTATACAACTGAACTCGTACGAATTAGCTACTAAACTAACAAAACATAAAATGTGTTTTCTCGTGAGATTAGGCTGGACGTATGATACATAATTTGCTTATTAAAGGTTAAAGCTTTACACATTTAAATTTTAACATTACACTGTGCTGTAACCATGATCCACACAAAGTAAAGCATAATGATCTGAGTTTAACTTTGTGAAATTAGGCTACATGTACAAATCAAAAACAGCAGACAGGCTAGGTAAAAATGCTAAATCGCTCTTTGCCAGCAGGGGGTGCTCTTAGAACCGCAGGAATAATGGCAATTCCTTGGTTCTAAACAAAGAATCTAAGTATTTTATAAGGATAAACTAAAAAGAAAATGAAGTCTGATCTTTTCTAATTTTACTTTCATAAAACCTCCAATGCCTAATTTAATATTTGGGTTTTTCTTTCAGTCATTTATGAATCGGGAATGGAGTGCTGCTCTTCAGGTGCCATTCATGTTTTTTCCAGTATGTTTTTTAAATGCTATCATCCACACTTAATATTAAGTCAACATATACACGTGTATTTAATGAAGCACATGCACGATACATTATAAAGTTTACTGTGTTATTTGGCTTACAAGGAGCTTTAAATGTATTCTATCTTTTAGGTGTGGAGATTTTTATTGAAGAAATAATAATAACTCCTACAAATTTATTACGACTTTATGAAACATGTAAAATTCCAGGTGTTATCTAAACTTGAGCTATAATAAAAACTACCCAAACACAAAAGTATTATCCATACAGTTTTTTTAATTTAATGTTGAAAACATCACAAGATCACAAAAATATGAAATAAAGGAAAATCAATACTTATACAGGTGTTCAAATATTTAAAGATATTTCATTTCATTTGAGTAGAGTTAACATTATAACTCTCAAAGGAATGCAAAAGACAAGGTTTATTTAACAATTCTATTTGTCTAGCTACATTTTTCATACTATGCAAGGTTTTTTGACTATTTACAATTTTAATTTCCTTTTTTTGTAGAGATTTAAAACCTGGATATTCAAACAATGTAAAAGCTTTAAAAGCAAACCAGGTTCATTCTGAAAAGGTACCCTTATATAGATATCTGGAGAGCACCAAATACATCCCAGGAGCTACATTTTTTGCAATTTTTCTTTTCTGCAAATCCACCAAAGGCCATGCTTTTTTGAGATCTCTGATTTCTCTGGCGAGTGCCTTTCGCACCTGCTGTTCTCATGTAAATCCACGAGAGGCCACTGTCGGCTGTTGCCTGACCAACCGACCAATCACCCCACCCACCCACTTCTTTAAACCCAACTGACAATGTTTTGAAAAGCAATTAAAAAGTATGTCCCGTATCGTTAATTTTAAAGACAAAATGCAACCATACATAGCTTTGGCTACATAATTCGTGATCTACAGATATTAGTATAACTTTAAAACTTTGTGTAAAAGTTTAAAAACTTTAAAAATCCTCTCCCCTTAAAGAATAGTTCAAGCAAATATAAAAAATTACTCATTATTAACTTGCGCTAAAGTGAATTCAAACCTTTGCAAAGTTACTTTTTGTCTGTTGAGTACAAAAGAAGATGGAAAAGAATGAAAAAAGAATGTTGGAAACTGGTAAAAATATATCCTATGAAAGTCAATGGTTACCAACATTTTTTAAAATATCCAACATCTTTTAAAATACTTTAATCTGTCCGGTCAGTTATTAGCGTGAAAAGAAACGGCCTCATACCATTCTATAGCGTTGATTTTAAAGACTAAATGCAGGCATACGTACCTCTGGCTATATAATTCGTGATCTCCAGAAATGTATACAGGGCTACGTTTTCAGAATGAGCCTATTAAAAAAGTCACAAGAGCAGAAGATTTGTTACTTTAACTTATTTTAATAACAGATTTTAACTTTATTTGTTATGTTATACACATTTTAAGTTGACATTTTAGGTCAAATGTAAATTGAAATAACTTAATTTTATTAGATTCAACTTAAAAATGTAAAACAGCAGCATATTTATTAAAATGTAGGATTTTCTAAATAATTAATATAGTTTTAATTATATATCATTGCTGGAATAATGTTCTGACATACCATTTACAAACCTCTAGTAATATTCTATTTGTAAATATGAATGTTGATGTTTATTCAATATAAATAATGTCTAATAAAGTAAAAAGCGGTGCCAGCATTTGCCCATTTCCAGTTCCTATTTTTATCCAGTGGATGAGTGCATCTCCAGTCGGGATCTGAAAGAGTAAAGCCTTGCCTGGGGCCATTGTAGTTTTCAGTAGCCTTTCTCATTGATAAGGAGAGGCTCTTTGTGCTGATTCTTCAGAGATTGTAGCTTTTTTTTTCTGGATGCTTCTTGAATTTCAAAGGTGAAAGAGGTCACTTGATCTGCTGGCTCTTGTTAGGAGGGCTTCAGGACATGCAATAGCTTCAAATCTCTTCAGTGATGGAGTCAGTATGGTGTTTGTGTGGGTGGGAACAGTAACCTGGCAAACCCAATCCCCTAACTTATAATTTGTCTTATGTGTTGGACTTTCAAATGGTTTCCAAGTGATAAGCTTTAGATATATTGATGTGTTTTTAAGCTGCCAGAGAATTCTAGAAACCTAGCTGACATTATTCATTAGTCAGTTTGATTGGAGAGATCATTACGAGTGCTGTTACGATGTATTTTCTTTCCTTTGGGACACTGACCGTACCTTGGATTTAGATATTTTAACAAATGCCAATCAAAGTAATTAGGTCAAAATTCTGGATTAGATTTTAATCTGGATCAAATAGATCATTTAAAATATAAAGTAAACAAGACTTGAAGTATAATTTTTTTTGGCAAAGTTTCAAGCCAGTAATGTTCGCATCTTATTTTTTACTTTTAATCATATAAATTATTTTTTTTGTGTGTTTTTTATATTGGTTTTTATTTAATTGTTTATTGTATTTATTAATTGTACAATCCCCTGCATTTTATTTTATTTTAATTTATTTTTTACGGTTGTTTATTGTACTTAGTTTAACCACAACCTGCCTTTCAGGGCCTTACTTTTTTATGTTTATTTTATTTTTCTTTACATATTTTATTTTATTTTTTATTTTTATTTAATTTAATTTCAATCATTTTTAAATTTATTTTATTTTTATTTTATTTTGCATATTTGTTTTACTTTTTATTCTATTTTATTTTATGTTTATTTTATTTTACATATTCTATTTAATTTTATGTTTGTCTTTCATGGCCTTACATTTTTTATTTTATTTTTATTTACAGTTGTTTATTGTGCTTAGTTTAGCAATAACCTGCCTTTCAAGGGCTTCAATTTTTAATTAATTTAATTTAATTTAATTTAATTTTAACAATCCTCTGGCCTTAAAGGGACTTCTTTTCTATAATATGAAAATTTACTGATTATTTCCTTACCTTCAAAGAGTTTCAAACCTTTATGAGGCACTTTTTGTCTGTTAAGCACAAATAAAGATATTTTGAAAAATGTTGGAAACTGGTAACCATGGACATCCATACAACACAAGCTCATCGTGAAAACATATCCTTGTATACATATCTGGATAGTGCAAGGTCTTAATTTGTGCCAGGACACCTTGGATCTGGCACCTGTGAAATCTGATCTGGCACCTAATTTTACTGATCCCCCTCCTCAACCACCCTCCTCCCCCATCCGCTATTTACTTTCACTTTCTCCTGCGACTCCCCAACCCTCTTCAATTTAGTCTGTGTCACCCCTCCGCCATCCAACAAGCTTTTCTTTTTGTGCATTGCTTTTAAAAATGGTTGTCGGTTGAGTTTAGGGAAGTTGGTGGGTGGGGGTATCAGTCAGTCACTCAGTTGACAGTGGCCTCTGGTGGATAACGTGAGAACAGCAAGCGTGAATGGCATTTGTGAGAGAAATTTAAGGGCTGATAAAGCATACACAGTGGCCTCTGGTGGATTCATGAAAATAAAAACAGCAAAAAACATACTTCAATGGACGTAATTTGAGAGCTCCATAAATGTATATTGGGGTGCATATCAAAAATGAGCCTGGGTTGCACCCATTATAGGAAAAACAAACTTCATGAAAGTCAGTGGCTACCAAAGTCAATTGGTTTTTCAAAATATCCAACATTTTTCAAAATATCTTAATCTGTGCTCAAATGAGGAACTCGAACAGCTTTGTGACAAGTAAATGGTGATTAAACAATGACCTAATGTTCAGTTTTGGGTGAACCAACCCTTTTAAATGGTGCAATTTTTATTGTACTTTATATAAGTTTAGTCGTCTTTAGCTTGAACTGTTACTCCATTGCTTCAGATTAGTAGTGGTGCTCAAAACAAAGCAGTTTGTTTACTGCTGTTTTCTGCTCCTCCATCATGTTTCAGTTATCATGTGTTGTTGACAGCTCTTCAGTACCGACTGAATTGGACAGACAGGCCTCATCAAAGTGTTTCCTCTACGAGCCGCTGATGTGTGTGAGCAGATGTGTGTGTGACGCCGCTGTTATGCTGAAGGTCAACGGAAATCTCAAACACATCTGGAAAAGTACAATCATCTGAACTGACAAACAGGTGTGGGTTTTGTCTTTCTGTTCCCTTGAAACACTTCCCATATACAGTACAAGACACTTTGTGTTCCTTCTTTCTGAGGCTAATTATTAGTATGATTTGCAGAGTTTGTTTTCAGCGAATCATTAAATCATTCAGTTCATTTATTAAAATTAGTTTTTGTTTAGATCAGTAGGTGACACTTGAGAATAATGGTCCATTAGTTAATGTTACTAAATGCATTTATTTACATTAATTAAGTATGATTAATCTTGTCAAGCATTGATCACAGTTCAACATAAACTCATGTGTTATTACAATCCAAAGTACTGCTTGTTTACATTAGTTTATGCCCTGTGAGTTTGCATGAACTAAAATTTTATAACATTAACTGATGTTAACAAAATTAAATTAATATTGAAATAAATGTCTGTAGCTGTAAAATGTTAACTATCATTAACTAATGGATTATTATTTAAGTGTTATTGATTAAGTGGCTGTAATTAAAAAAAACATTACATTTTTAAGTTGAACCAAATAAACGATATAAGTAATTTCAACGTATATATGATGCTAAACTGGGTGAAAACATCAAATCAAATCTTTTTTTTTTTTACTTAAACTTAAATAATGTTGAAACATTATTAGCGTAATTTAAGATTTATTTTATTTTACCTTAATTACAAGTTAAACAAAAACATTTTATAATGAACTATTAATGATATAATCTTAAATATGTTGTGGTCTCATAAATATTTCTTATAGCTTTTTTTAAATGACATATTTTAAGAGTTTTTGCTTTAATATTATTGACTTAATGGCAGGTACAGGCCTTGATATTTTGGTATGGGGCATGTTTATTTTGAAGAGAGATTGAATTTAGGTTTATTATGGGCTTGTTCTTATCTGCTGTCTTTTTTATATGACAAAAATGATTTGCTTTATTTCTAGAAAGTCTCGTAATTCACTTTTTTTTCTTGGCACATGGATGCATGAATAGGCCATAAGTCTGTAATATGATCAAACCATGTCAATCTTAATAACTATTACTCATTTTGTATATAATCATTAATGAGTGATTATTTTTAAATCTATCAGCCTGCAGGAGTACACCCTTTACAAATCTTTCATTTAAATTAATATTTTATCCAGGATGCTTTACATTATTTAAGTTGTGTACATTCATAAGATTAGTCAGTACTAAAGCCAAATCTGGGGCTTATCTAACAATACAACTTACAATGCCAGTATAAGATGTTTGATAACTAAAATATTACTTCAATAAATATGGCTGTTTAATAGTTCTGTTTTGTTCAAATGCTTCAAAACATATTACATATGTTCACTGAGAAATGGACAAAAATATAAATGTTTTTTTAAAACGAGGTGTACTCATTTATGCTGAGCACTGTATATATATCAAGTCAACAGTGCATATAAGTATGCTGCAATGCTATTATATTAAAATGTGAACAGCTAGTTGTTTAGGGCTTTTCTGTACACATTACATAGAATTGTTGTAAATGCTGTTGTCACAACTTGCATTCTCCCCGAGGTATTTTGTGTTAGAATGCAGTTGTGAGTGTGTACACAGCAGGAATAAGCACTAAAATATGAAAACCAAAATCATCTGCAGTGTGTGTGTGTGTGTGTGTGTGTGTGTGTGTGTGTGTGTGTGTGTGTGTGTGTGTGTGTGTGTGTGTGTGTGTGTGAGAGAGAGTGAGAGAGTGAGAGAGAGACCAATTCAGTTTTCGTTCCAGTGATTCAATCAGAAGCACTAATTCACTGGTTCTTATGTGTGAATCATCAAGTTCTTCAAGAATGACTTATGAATGGGTCATTGACTCATTCATTTCAATGAATCATTCAGCAAGGAAACTCCACTAGTTTTCTTTATTGGAGTAAAAAACAGCAAAAAAGTAACAATAAAATATGCAAAATTGTGTCTAGAATGTAAGTAACTCATCTTGATTATTGAGAGGTTGTTTTTTCCAAGATTTAATTTTTCTCGACTGGCATTTGTGACCATTGTGTTTACATCTCACACAGAGTAAAAAACCTTAAATGTATTTTTTCCTGCATTAAATTCAATAACATATTTTGATTAATGGCTTTATTCTTATATGTCAACACTACATGGCCTTTATTGTCATTAAACAGAAACAACAACTTCAGCAGACTTCAGGTTAGTTAAGTGATGATAAACATCATTCAGTCTTATTTTTAACACAGGCTCATTGTAAATATGTATCCCAATATATTTCTGGAGAGCGCAAATTATGTATGTAGAGGTATGTCTGACTGCTTTTCGTCTTTAAAACGTTGTTACCGTTGTTACCAGTTTGCCCAGTAGCTCACCCTGTATGTCGGCGGACTTGAGACACAGAGAGGAGTTGACCCCAATAACAGGGTTTGAATCTGGTAAAGAACGATTCCAGAAAGTGGGTAAAACAAAAAGGCAAGTAAACAAATGGGTGAGAACTTGGTAAGTTTAAAAAATGTGGTAAAAATCAGCTGGCCGTGAGGGCTTTTTTTTCTGGATTGTTTTTGGAAGCTCTGTCGGTTGTGTTTAGGAAAGGCAATGTGTGGCTCATTCAGTGCTTTTAAAAACACTATCGGTTGGGTTTAGGGAAGGAGGAGAAATTGTTCAGTCGGTTGGTCAGTCAGTCATTAGTGGCCTCTGATGGATTTACGCAAGCACAGCAGGCACGAATGGCACTCGTAAGCGAAATTTAAGGTCTGAAAAAGCATACACAGCGGCCTCTGGTGGGTTTGCGAAAACAAAAACTGCAAAAAAACGTACCTCCTGGGACATATTTGGCGCTCTCCAGAATTGTACTCAGGGGTATGCTACAATGAGCCTGCGTTGCCTATTTTAGTCTAGTATAAGATACAGAGATAAAACAGTCATCAAAACTTAACCAAGCAGTTGTTAAAATGTCATTCAGCTGCTTGTATAATAAAGGATACAGCAAGACCTATAAAACAAGTCAGAAACTGAAACATGAATCTCATATTAAGTTGTTTTAAAATCCCATGCATTCAAGAGTTGTCATTCTGGGAATTTACAGCACTCAACTAAACTGCAAATAATGCCGACATTGATGAATACAAACAAAGGACAGAAGGACAGTGTGAATTAACTCTTCTATTATTGTGGCATAAAAATACATTTCCCCTCAGGATACAAATGCAGATTTTGTTCAAACCTCGGACTGTGCATGTATTCATATAGAGCAAAAGTATAGCTGCCAGTTTTGCTCCTACTAAAGCCACTATTCATTTTAAAGGTCACTGAGATCCTGCTGTGATGAAAGATGCATGCTAACGTGCATATTTGTCATAATAGTGAAATCATCTCTGATATCTCAAACTGCTACTGTATGAAGGAAGAGTTTCTGTTGCATCTAGGATTAAGAGTTCAGATGCAAAAACATTAAAGGGCCATCTTAAACTTTCTTCTAAGATGATCAGTTTTTCAGGCTCCTACAGCATGCCAATGTTCAGTAATTTAACTTTTATGCAAATAATAGGTTATTTTCATTGCCTTTAACATGGGACACTGCACTGTAAAAAGCGACTAGTTTGCTTTAGAGGTCTGTGCAGGATAAATTTTTTAGTCATGCTCCCGCAAGGTTTTATTCCGCACCTGACCGCTCCTGCCGTATATTCGGCCTTTGTTCACCCACTCCCCGCTTAGAGTAATTTTCTGCCCATTCCCGTAAATATAGGTTCCCGCTAAATATAGATATGGTTTCCAAAATCTCACATTTAAATTTGGTAGGCTACTATCAAAAGAAAGAGATGACAGATAAAACTGTAGGTTACGCAAGGATTTTAGGCTAAATGAAAGTTTTGTTTGCTTCTTTGTGATTAGAAATGAGTGCTCCCTTAAACCTGAGGTTCCAGTCTTGTGACTGCTAAAGGGTAAAACTTTCGCACAATTTTTTTTTCGTTTGCATCTATGACGCATGAAAAGAGACTTACCTGATGTGGGTATCCTAAAAGTAAACTGGCCATTTTCTAATGCAAGCTGAAGGACCGTGCATCTTCATTTTGCTCTCCCATGTTGGTTAAGCCCATTCTGAGAACCGTTGTGCAGATGATGTACGCACAGACTGTGCGAAAAAAAGTACATGCAAGAAAGCACATTCAGCATGTGTAACAGTCAGTCACTGGCTGTACCAGTGCTCAATAAGGAAGGAAATCACAGATATGCTGTTCTGAAATAACCTCGGGACTCAGGAATGCTATATTTTTAGCATGCCCGCTCCCTTTCAAATTACACCAGAGTTACAGACTGTTGTGTTTTATTCGCAGATTTATTCCCTCGCCTCAAGAAATCTCATCTGGTCCAATGCAGACCTCAAAAAAAGTAAGTTATACTGCGTTTTCCTTGCCTTGGCTTCCTTGTTTTGAACCTTTGCTTTGTTCTGTTTGATCATTCCAGTATGCCGCTTGCCTTCTGACCATTTGCCTGCTGTTTTGACTACAACTATGGATTGCCCTCATGCATCTGTTTGCTCCTGTGTTGATCATTGCTGGCCTGACCTCGCTAATAAACTTGCATGTGGATCCGCACCTGTTGTCAGTGTCACTCCCCTGGTTACACGTTCCAAGTTAACAAGGAATTTAGATTAAATTAGATTAGATTACATTCAACTTTATTTTCATTACACATGTACAAGTACAAGGCAACGAAATGCAGTTTAGGAGTCAGAAGAGTCAGTGAGGGGCAGAGTTCAGAAGAGTGACAGAAAAAGCTGTTCCTTAGTCTGCTGGTTTTGTCTGGGGAGCCTGAAGCACCTGCCAGAGGGCAGGAGAGAAAACAGTCTGTGAGCAGGGTTAGAGGAATCCTTAAGAATACTTTGTGCATGGTGCAGACAGTGGGTTTACTCACTTTGTAAAAGTGAAGTATCTAACCTCATTTTACAGTGAGGAAAATGCTTATAAATAAAAACATTTCAGAAGACATTTAGAGGTTTTTGCGTATGATCTCTTCATACATACTGTATATACAGTGGGTTAAAAAAGTACTGAAGACAACACTATTTTTCTGTTGACTTTTGAAATTTTCACTAAATGCCAGTAGCAGCTGAAGTAGTCTATACATATGAAGAAAACAAAACTCACCGGCAGCTACCTCTCTGCAATTCTCACATGGTCATCCACGGAAGCTAAGTATGGCTGCGCCTGGTCAGTACCTGCATGGGAGACCTCATGGGAAAGCTAGGGTGTGCTGCCGGAAGTGGTGTTAGTGAGACCAGCAGATGTCACTTAATCTGCGGTATGTGTGGGTCCTAATGCCCCAGTACATTGATGGGGACCCTATATGGCTCAGTGAGCGCCGTCTTTCAGATGAGGTGTTAAACTGACATGTAATGTCACAGTAAAAAAATATTGAACATATGAAGAAAGGAAGGTGTAAAAAGGCATGGAAAACTCAGACAGCAGCTGAAATCTCTCAGTAGTTATTCAGAAATTCTAAATTAACATCAGCTGTTTCAGTCCCAACAACTACGTTATCAGATGATAGAAATGAAACCAGGGTGGACATTTCAGCAAGATGATGATCCTATGCTAAGGAACTTTCGATTAGTTTCAGGAAAATAAAATAAAATAAAGTTGCTCAAATGGCCCAGCAAACCACTTGAATTAGATAGAAAATAAGAACTAAAGATCAGAGTTGATAGATGAGACTCACAGACAGTGCATGCGACTACATTCTCCACACAAGAGGCGTCTTGAAGCTGTCATTACCAAATCAACCAATTCTTTCGTCCCGTGTTATTCCCTTGTTATTACACACACACACACAACAGTTTTAACAAAATGTGTGTCAGTTCATGTCAACAGCTCCATTAAAAATATATTTACTAGGGCAAATCATGACATGTTCAATACTTATTTCACCCATATGAAAGGTGTAATGATTACAATCTTCAAATTGTTTTCTTTTGTATTCTAAAGAAGGGGGTACGTCATGGAGTCTTAGGGCATAATAAGGGCAACTACAGTATTGCCTAATCCCAATTCTACCCCTTAGGAATATAATGGCCATTTTTGTCTCAGTGTTTATGATAATTTTGGCTTTGTATTGTAAATTGAATTTTTATCAAACCAATTAAACCTGTAATATTTCATTCAAGTTGATCACAGCTTCAAACAGCTATTTGAATAATATTAATAATAATAAAATATCCAGGTTTGGCCTGCAGGAGCAAATAATACTTTACTTCTGTGCACTACAGGCCAAATTAATAGAAATTATGCAGTTACAGTTATGTGGGTGTGTTAGTGTGGATATCAGAGTTTGTTTTGTTTGTATATACTTAAAATATAAATCTGTGTGAGCGGTTGATTTGCTTCCCGTAATTTAATTATGCAAAGCTGTAATATTATAAAACAAAATCTGGTTGTCCTTTAGTACAGTGGGAAAAATAAGTATTGAACACGTCATGTTTTTTATGGGATTAATATTTCTAAAGGAGCTTTTGACATGGAATTGTACCTGCTTTTGGTAAAAACTCAAACAATACAAACATAAAAATAAGACAAAACTAAACAAAAACAATCTGAAAAACGAGTTCTGTGTAAAAACAACGGAATGACAAGGTGAAAGTGCTGAACTACTGAAACATTTAATACTGTATATTAAGGGCTTTCTTGGTGATGGCAGCTTAAAGACGCCTCATTTGGAGAATGAAGTCACATGAATTGCTCGGGTATAAGTTTTCCACAGACTTCAACAGAGTGGGAAAGTCTTGATGCTTCTGTGGGTCTCGTCTATCAAGGTGATTAGCTGGGCCATTCTACAACTTGATTTTATTCCTCTGAATGCATTTGAGTTTCCATGGCTGTGCTTTCTATCATTGTCTTGCTGAAATGCTCACCCTGGTTTCATCATCATCATCCTGCTAATGTAGATGTTAGACTGAAGCAGCTAATATTCTTTTACAATGATGAAAGGCAGGGGGTTGCTAAATAACTACTGAGAGATTTCAGCTGCTGTCTGGGCTTTCACTGCCTTTCTACACATCCCTTTCTTCATGTGTTCTATATTTCTTCCCTGTGTCATTTTAATGTATTACACATAACTTTCCTAAATGAAATCACCATACTGGTAGGTCTGTCTCTGTGGGATAGCAGCGTAATTAATATAAGTGAGATCCGAGACGTGACTCACCACAGATAACTGTTGCGGGGGAGTTAAAGTCCCTGAAATCTGGCTGAGATCAAGAACTATTATTACGTTTGGCTAGCTAGGGCCACGTTTACACTAATACGTTTTAGTTTTAAAATGGCATTTTAGAATGAAGACGATCCGCGTCCACACTAGAGATTTACTTGTGGTTAAGAATAGAGCAATTTGCTAGTGTTTAATTGCATTGGGCTCACACACATACCTGCCAACCTCTGTCCCTGAAAATCCGGGGGGGTTGGTTTTGGGGGGTGAGATGTCTGAATAACAATGTTGATAACCACTGTTTACTGTGTTAGTAACTACTATGAAGCGTGTTTCGGGCGGCCGCTACGATTAGATCCTATACCAATGTTGGCAACCCGGGGGTTTCACAGACCGTACCAAAATGCTGAGGACCGGGGGGGGGGGGTGGGGGGGGGGGAGTGTGGCAGGAGATGGGGCTGAAATACAGGAGACTCCCCGAAACAACAACCGTGTTGGCAAGTATGCTCACACATGCACTCTGCACTCTTGCTACTTCAATATTGTTGATAAGCCATGGTGGCCATTTTACTCTGTCTTGCACTGAACGCTATCGACCAATCGCAACAAGCTGTCATTAGTCCAATCAGCACAGATTAGCTTTGTCCTAAGGAGGGCTTTGGGAACAAAAGAGTCGCTAATTGATTCATTTGGGAGTCACTGGGATAATTAGGTAAAAATGTATGCATATTATAAGACAATGAAAGTGTTTTTTGACCTTGCATGCATATCAGCCTGTTGTTAGAGACCCTCAAAACCATGACCCTTTTTAATGTATAATAGGGGCTCTTTAACTTTTCGATCTTAGGTGAAAAATTTAGTCTGTTGGAGACGTCCAATAGATTAATAGGTACTGAAAAGGTCCACAGATGGGGGGTGATCACCAGAATGGGAAAGTCCTAGAGTAAAATGAGAAAATATGATACACCGGTGTTTTGGAATATGGAAAAACTGTCTCTACGCTGTTTTCATCTGTTTTATATTATTTGTTTTTATTTTATTTATCTTTGTCTCTTTTATTCCTGTTTATGTAAAGCACTTTGAATTGCCACTGTGTATGAAATGTGCTGTATAAATAAATTTGCCTTGCCTAATTAATTTTGGTTTCTTTGCATATCCGGTGAAAATTTTAAAATAAAAAAGCACCTTTAAAAAATGTTTTCTGAAGAAAATGGTGTATGGACAGTAATAGATTGTAATTTGTCTTCATAAACTATGAATTTTAAATGAAGTGGCTCAGGGGTATAAAGCAATATTTATAGGAAAATGGTAAAAATGAAATTTAAAAACATAATAAAATAACAAATAATAATCAGTAATAATTAAATCAATAACTAATGATTATTAAAATGATCAGATATAAATGACTAATGGGGCAGCACGGTGACGCATGGGTAGCACAATTGCCTCACAGCCAGAAGGTAGCTGGTTTGAGTCACAGCTAGAGTTTTCTGGGTGGAGTTTTCATGTTCTCCCAGTGTTCACGTGGGTTTCATTCGAGTGCTCCAGTTTCCCCCACAGTCCAAACACATGCGCTATATAAAGGTGGGTGTTTCCCAGTACTGGATTATGTCTGGAAGTGCAACTGCTGCATAAAACATATACTAGAATAGTTGGCGGTTCATTCTGCTGTGGTGACCTCTGAATTGGAGATTAAGCCAAAGGAAAATGAATGAATGATATAAAAAGTGATTCTTTTATGGGTTTTTTGACACATTTTTGTGCTCTGTGGTCTGATGTGTAGCCTTTTTTCTCACAAGGAAGCGAGTAATGTGAACTGTTTCCTTTCTACCAAGCAGTCCACGCAGATTTCCAGTCATTATTTCAATCACGGCGCTAAAGCCCTGCTTTTTTGGCAGCTTTTCACTGACGCAATCATCCAAACACGTTCAAAGTCAATATTTTCAAAGAGACTCTTGTCTGTTCCAAAGAACATAAAATGGCGGGATTTGTGCTCGAATTCCTCGCAGCTCTCTGTGTTGTTGTCAGGGAACTGAAATCCAGCATGGAAATTGACCTTTGGATCTGACACAACACAGATACTGTCTTCCCATGTGTTAGGAGCCTGATGATGTCCGTTCTGATGGCTCAAGCTGAAGGTCAAAGGGTCTTCTGGCAGCAGATTCTTGGTCTTCAGAGTCTGAATTCCTTCATTCTGAGTCTTGAGAATCTGCAGAGCTGATGAGTCTTTCTTCTCATCTTATGAACAACACTTGGCTCATTCTGACGTCCAGAGGAAATGACTTTTCCTAGTCACTCTTCATCTCAAGTGGAGAACGGGAGGGAGGCCATGAGTTCAGTTTTGGAGTGCAGAAGTTCACTATTGTTCACGCCGCTGTGTGTTTGAGTTAC